ACTCCAAGAAGAAGTCCTTGAATGGACTTACTGGGAGAATGAAAGGCCTTATTCAAATAAATATATCTGAATCACTAATTCTTATCGAAATAGGGAATCCGGTTCGGGTTATAGAGGTTATTACTATTTGTTAACACATAGTTGATGTAGATGGTATTATGAGCAGTGTGGTAAAATGTGCAGCTAGGGAAAAAAATCACCTATAGTGAAGAATACAAAAAATGTATCATTAATGCTTTGGACGACACGGTATTTTAAAAAGCAAACTCTGTGTCTTGTTTGGACCTTAGTTTCAGTAATAGGATGTTTTGTAGACATGTCAGTATATGTCATATTGGGAGACGTATTAGTCGAAAATGATGGCAGCCTGAGCACGTCGTGATTACTTTAGAAGAAAAGGCCAGTTGTCAACAAAAGCAAATCCCTACTCACTACAGTATTGAGCCAGCCGGCTTTAAACCTGTTTTGAACCTTTCACGGAGAAATCACCACGGTGAATTCATCAACGTAAACTCATCCTCCTGGAAAACTCAAGCGTCCCGACAAGTCATTCTTATTTGATCTCTGACTGCTTCTTCCTTATTGTTGTTGGCAACATGGCGTGGTGTTGGAGTTTGCCATTTCTAGCATTGCTCAACTGTTTCAGCGGGTGTAGAGCAACCACGCAGGAAAATCTGCATCCTTCCAGATCCACATGCGATTAGATAAAATAAGATAATCCTTTATGTAAATTTGAGCCTTCTTTCATGAAGGTCTACGACCTCCAAAAGCATTCTGCCAATCATCTATTTCTCATTGTAGTGTTCAAGCTGTGATCAAAGAAATTAATTAAATACTGATTCAAATATTTAGTTTACTGTATTTATACGTTATTCATTGTACATGTGCAGTGCTGTTGGAATGATGAACAAAATACAGGAATTAAAATCATGACAAATTGAAGAAGAGAAACGTCTTATTGTACCGCGGATTCCTGCCAAACCACTCGGCCACACTCCAGTCCAGTGGATGGCAGTATTGGTAAAAATGCCCCTCAAACTGAAAAGGAAAAAGTGGCGCAATTAGCTATCTAGGCAGCCACTAACAAGATGATTTAAGTTGATTTAAACAGCTTCATTTTTCATGAACAAATTATTGCCACAGCAAGCATAATAATAATGCAGATGAGCGGAGTAGCGTCCGTAAGAAAAGACTGATTAACGAAGTTGGTCATCCCAGTGTGCACCATTTTCCTTCGTAAGTATAAATAAGCATTCCATTCAGACCATAGATGTGACAAGCACACGAGGAAACACAACATTTCATATTAAGAAAAGAAGTGATTTGTTGTTCGCAAATCTGAGGTTGACCTTTCTAAATGCGGGAAATTGCACCAAACACTGGCAAATGAATACACATACAACAATAAAGATCCATTATTCTGAATGCCAATCAAGCCCACGCAAAGTATAAAAAACTGTATTGACTCCAGTCGTAAAAATAATGACAAGTCCTCTCAGCCCAGAGCTGCCATACACAGAACCCCCACGTTTAAATTCATTAGAATGAATAGGCTGTGGGAGGGCTGTGGCTTGAAATCCACACAGTACAACACGGACGATGCTCTATTGATTTGGGCCTCTGGTTGCTCTTCTCTGATCTCTCAAAACAGAGGCGGGAATGTCTGGAAGGTGTGTTGAATTTAACTCAGGCCCTGCAGCTCGCTTTGACATTGCTAAGAGTACAACCAAAGATAGATCTGATGAAATCTCATGAAGTGTATGGACAGAGAGAAGGCCTGTGTGGATGCTCCTGGTCGCTTTTGCTCCAGTGATTTTCTTGTTTTAATCTCTCAAGATATCAGCGGTATTAACCAATGCTTGATGTGGGCCCTGTTTGTCTTTGTCCTCTGGTCCTAAATTGCTTGTGTGTAACCAAACCTCTTATCGATCTCAAAATCTCTGCATTCTGCTAATCGTGTTTGTGCAGTCTCGAGACATGATTGAAAATTATTAAATGTAAATATCTCTTTTAGCTTGCATAGGTAAATGTTAGAGTTATGTTATTGTTGGGGATTGAGTCTTTTGTAAACTTTCAACTTATTGAATTAATACTGTGTGTGTGTTTTTAATATATTTTTATCCACCATGAAAACTTCCCTGCGGGGATAAATACAGTTTATTGGATTGGAATGTAATTGAATTAAAATGGCCCTGCAATGGCAAGAGGGGACCTTCAATGAGTCAAAGCCTCCTAATTCGACACACAGCACAGACAAAATACATTACTTTTTTTTTTTTTAAATGTGATGGAGTCTGTGTGCTGTAAGGAAACAATATTGCTCATTTCTGAACCTTGGCAAGCTTTGTTCAAGGGTTTGTTGCAAACGTCGTAAAAATCCTTCCATTATCATCCATGTCACTTTCTTGGACAAACTTACCATCGCAGTTATTGCATTACATCTTCTATGTTATGCTTTCGCCTTTGTTTCGTCCACTGGCTTTAAAAAAAAAGTTATTTTGTTACCTTGTTGCTGCATCTTTTTCTTCTCTTAGCTTTCATGCCATTTTACAAGAATTCGTGCTATTGGAAAATGAGATCAAGAGGAACCTGTGCCTGATGTTTGATCCACATTCAAGTAACCTTCACCGTTATCTCTGAGGTAAAAAAAATGAAGGGTTGTCCCCTGTTTTGGGAGCAGCTTTGACTCTCCCACGTTCTTCCATTTGACAGCTGGATTCAGCTTCTAGCCACAGTCTACCCTCCCAAAACGGGAAGTTGTCCATGATCCTCAATCTGCTTTCAAGCCACTCTCTCTACTGCTTTGGAAATAAGGAGGATTCAACGGGGCTGATGTGAGAACAACTTTGAAGCAGCTCCCTCCTGCAGGCTCCCGTGTGGAAATGAGGAGCTCTACATGCTGACTGGAGATCAGTTTTGGACGCAGCTCTCGTCCATTTGGAAATGAACATTGTCCACGGTGCTGACTCAAGCAGAGCGTCCTGAACAGCAGCTCACCCTCTCACTGGCAGTTACAGCGTTGCCGGTAGCTGCTCTGTGCTGTTCAGGGTGTGATGCCAAGTTGATTTATGTCGTTGGGTTGTGAGCAAGAGGGGTTTCAAAACAGCTGTTTTCAAATATAGAAGACATGATGCAGTAATTGGGTCACTGTAAAGTGGTTGCAACCTAATGGGCTGTTGGTTTTAGAACCGGGCTAAAGAAATATTGAAAACGTGAGCAGGGATATAATTATAACAGTAGATGGCTACAATACAAAGTAGCTATATAGAGGCAGGAAAAATAGATTGAAACAGTAACCTTTGACTAGTACCTTCCTTCAAAATAATAACACGCGAGATAGAGTATTGTACTGGTGAAGTAGGCCGGTATTATTATCATTTCCATCTCTGGACCTCTTACCCCTGGTACCTCACCTCACTCTCTCCCGTCCTCTCCTCCTCTATCACACAGCCCTGTATCGATCTTCTGCTGGTTGTGTCCAACAGTAGTATATCCAAAGATATTTATGTTTGTAGGTGCTGGTCTCCGGTTCCCATTATGGGCTTGAGCGATTGGGCATGGGCAGTGTTTTAACACCTCGCTGCTGAGGAAAAATGTAATATTCAGGAGGCATGTCCTTAGTCAGCACTTCCATCCCAGGAGCTGTAAAATGACCGGGGACAGCTAGTATACTGAAGCATATTGCAAAGGTTGGGCTACAAGGGAAAAGATGATTACAAGACAAAAAGCTTTAGCTTTAACATATTCAATCAAAACTATTTGATTCCGCCCTTTCACAGAACTCCAATACGAGTGACGATTTATACTAAAATAAACGGATTTCTCCGCGATGGGACAAAATATCATGTTGACTGACTTGTCAGAGGTCAGATCAATTTGAACACCTAATGGAAAGTATTGGAACTCTGAAGGTACATCTAGCATTGAAGGAAAGTATATCAGGTTAAATAGCAGTAATGGTTCAGAAAAGATACCTATATTTTAACACGAGGCTTCCAAATACCGCCGGGAAATCACTGAATCACTAGATGAATGCATTCACAGTTCTTAATTTACAACCAGCCGGTGTTGACGTTCTTACTTGGGATTAGGCTGAAGAAATACATCGGCAGCATGTTCCGTTCGCCCTCATCCCCTGACTCCCCTGACTCCTCCGTCTCTCCGCGTCTCTCGTTGTCCGTTCAGCACCTCTCCGTGACCGCGGCTTTTAAAAACCTCGTTGGCCACGTCAGCGTTCTGACCCCCCTCACCTCCCTGATTTAGCCTCTGAGAGACTCCAGCTGCTTGTGATGGCAGGTGATCTCTCTTTGTGTCAGTCTCTCTGTTCCGCTCTTATCTCTCATCCACACTTCATATTTCTCAGACACGCGCAGCGCTTCACAGGTCAATCTGCTTCAAAGAGGAAAGGCATACTTTTCAACTTTCAAAATACCATCTGCATACCGTCTTCATAGCGACTTCGCCGCAGTCCAATTATACTGCAGTTCTGCAAGTCCTCGCACTCTACCAGTGTCTTCTGGTTATTAACTCGAAATACTTTTTATGGACTTTCTCTAACCAGTGATTTTTTTAAAGGCCTGTAGCACATTGAGTTGCATCGACAATTTGACTTATTTTAACGTACAAAAGCCCTTTTCTAGACTTCACCGAGAAGTAAAATGATGGCGAAGAGGAATGCGAGTTTAAAACCCGATTAGAACATGTTTATGTTTGCTTTCTGAACACACAAACAAATCTGTCTCTTTCAGTCGGTTAAATGTAATCATAACGTTCGTGCCAAAAACCAAAGTCTAGTTCAAGTCAAAGTCCCACATCAATTCACAGGATGTGCCGAAGCAGCCAGCTCCTAACCAGATGCCTCTCTATTACTTTTTTATTTTCCTTTGGTGGCTCCAACGATCCCCTTACCCTCTCTCTCTTCCTCTCCACCTCATCCTTTGCAGGTTCCCTCCATCACCACTAGGGGCTTTCCACACCACGCCGTTCCGAGAGTGGCTTTGGAAACGTCGGTCTCGCTGCGCTCCTCTGTGCGCGGAGACTCTCGGTGCGCAGCGCGGAGGTGCTAGACGAGGACGCGCACGGCGTTTATCCCTGCTGGGGTTTTGGTTTCTTTTTTTCTTTTTTAGCACACAGGGGATCGTACACCTTTTAATTCCAGGAGGAAGCTGCGAGTTGAGTGGCCGTCCCTGCATCCATCCCACCGCAACTTGTCAAGGCACAAGGTATTTGTTTCTGCCGCACGGTAGCACGGGGACGACTTTGGCTGTCGGGTGTTTTTAAAAATTATATATAATTGGAAAGTTCCCGGCGCCGTGGCTCGGTCCCGTAACGCACAACTCCGCCAGGACTCGCGGAAAGCTTCTCGCCTTTGCACTGTTAGGACTTTTTTTTCTCTCTCGTGCACAAAAATAGAGGTAAATGGCATAAATGCATTGACAGTGCACACGCAGCGCGGTGTGTATGCGTGCGCGGATCTGTCTTTTTGCATTTCATTGAACCATTTTCCATCTTCACTTGAAGCCTGAACATCTCCGCCTAACTTGTTGCAACTTGTAACGCAATTAAAGGAGGGTAAGTGTAGTCGCTGATGACAACTGCGCCCGGTGGTCACATCAAATGGTTTTTAGACAGTAAACGGGACAATGATGGTTTTCAGGTTTCGGGCGAAGTAGGAAATGGTTTCCGACGGGTGACACGAGCCGGGGAAATGTCTGCTGTGATACTCGCGTCGCGTAACGTTACATTTATTGTGGGAAATCTCCACGGTGAGATTGGGCAGCAGTGGAAGTGCGCGCATGCATTTCGTGTGGCACGTCGCTTCTGAACAATTGACACGTTTTCATCTACAACCAACGGGATGAAATGGGTGTGAATATGCCGGGCATTGTAATTATCGACGCACGATTGGTGTGGATGAATTCAGAGGGTGAGGAGAATGAACGCACGCGCGTCTCCCGCATTTTGGAACGCGTTTCCGCAGACTGCGGCCACTTGATGCGCCAACAGGATGCGTTTGGGAAAGTTGGATGTGTGCCACTGCGCGCTAACAAGCCCGGCTGCTGAATGAATGAATGCAGACTTCCAAGCATATCCTGTCATCTAAATAGTTGCTTTTCATGGGGAAACAATACGTTGGATTTGTGCTCATCCGGCCTTGTGATAATCCTTCACAGAGATGTTGTGGATTAAAAAGTTGCAGTCTTGTTAACAGAGAAGAGTTACAAATATTTTTTTTTCTTCAAATCAAATTCATTTGATAGTAATCAATTATGTTAGTTCCTATATATTTAGTATTTTAAACATAGTTAATCTACATGTGGATTTAATCCAAAAGAAAATCGAATTAACATCAACAACTATTTATGTCCTGTTTGTTTAAGAGAATTTTCTGGACATGATCCAAATTTTGTACCACATGCTTTACTGTTACAGTGTCTTTGAATTATGCCTCTCTCCTTCTCAATCCTAAACCTTTCATTGTGATTTGTTGCCTTCAATTTATTTCAGACCAACTGCCCAGACTATTTGTAGACATGACATTTAAATTTACTTTAATATAATTTGTTAAACTCATGAGCCAGTCGGTGATGGGGCAGACGGATGCTAGCTCGTTAGACAAAAAGCCTAATGTGATTTAGCTTCACGTAGTCTCATAGATGCTTCACTGCCATGAATGCATCACCTACACATTGATCAAATTCACTCCATCCCAACAGAATAATATTTTGGCATCTGAGGCATACACCTCAGAATGAAATACAACCTATTCCCAACAGCAGGAGTTCTACGTGCACGCTTGATATCTTAGTAGAAGATTTGTGACCGTTGGCTTTCAGTCCACTTTAAACTGGACATTAGTGAGTGACCTTGGCGTGAATGCTTGAGTGTCCATGTGTCGGCTTTCTTGACCGTGGTTGTCTGTGCAGAAATGCACACATCTATGTGTGTGTGCGTGTGTGCACGGGGAGCTGTGTGTTTTGTGAGACCACCCCCTGTGCCTCAGTTTATCACTTATCACGAGCTAATTGGCGTTTGTGAAAGTGAGACGAATGCCCTTTGTCCCCCGTAACCGATGAATCGCTTTGAGTTTCCAATTAGATGCTGCTCTATGAATCTATCAGAAAGGCCGCGGATCTGGGTGCATAACCTTACCTGACCCTTTGTTTGGAGAATTGATTTTTGCAGATTACAATTGAAAAATGTATGTAGAAAGCTTTAGGGAGGCAGAATTTGCTTTACACATTTGCACATTTACAGATGTCAAGTCTCCCCAACATCTCGTATCGTGTTCTCAACAAATTAATCTAAAATGCATATCTTATAGTATATTGTCATTTTTTTTGTTACGTAAAAATGACTAAACACATGTGCCAAAACTACCAGAATAAATTAAGATGTATTGTGTCATCTTATTTTATCTTTACATTAATCAGGAAAAATGCTGTGCAAGTGCAGATTTTGTCATTATTTACCAACCCCATGATAACTGGAGTCAGAGTGGGCTCTGTTAACACATTTAAAAGTAAGATCAACTATTTGGCAGAAACTATATGCATCTTTCAACTGGTAGGTGGTTCTGAATATGGAATATGACAAGGAAAGGAAAACGAGTGGGGAAAAAAAACAATGTGTTTACCGCCTTACTGCCCATTACGGCCACGTATGTGTGCTCGGTATCCGAGCCTGAGTTATTCAGCCGGTGGTCTAACCAGGGCGTACATTACAAGGGCCATGTAGCAGTAACCCAGATGGCAGAATGAGCTGATTGTGATTTATGTACCAAAAGTCAATGCATTACTGTGAGCTTCTGGATCCAGTCCCAATTCCAGGCAGGCGTTTTCACACAATCCCAACCAACACACACACACACACACACACACAAACAGACAAATCATAAATATACACAAATAGATGCTTACAAAACATTTTTAAATACGTATGTGTCCATACAGTAGAAATTCTCTCTCTCGCTCTCTCTCAAGCAAGCCTCCTGGAAAAATCATTTAGATGAAGCAGTCCACCGTTGTGAGACATTGATTACCGTTTACCAAGCCGGAGCGTAAATGCAGCGCGTGAAGGAAGAGCGGACAATGCGGGAGAGCCAAAAAAAAAGGGAGGGAGGTAGGTAGGGAGAGAGAGTGGGAAAGAGGGAGAGAAGGGAGAGAGGATGAGAGGCTGATAGATGGTGGTGCGGTGGCAGTAAAGATGACAGATAACGGGATAAACCAGGGAATGTTTATGGCTGACAGAGGGGACCGATTAGGCCAACTAATTGATCTGGACCTGTGGTTAGGTGGCCAGTTCATTCTCAGCCAGTACACACACTCTCTCTCAAACACACGCACACACACACACACACACACACATACCGTTTCACAGTCGCACTCCTGACTGCTCTCACCTGCCGTCTGGTTGCCGGTCAGGGACGGTCAGCCCTTAGTCACTTCATTACCCCCTCAGGGCAGGGAGTGAATCAACCATATTAACTCTTGAGCTCTGTGACGGAACGGCCAGGTAGGAGGTGATAGAGAGCCGAGGGCTGTGGACAGGCTCCATGGCGGGTTCTTTCGGCCATGTTTGTACCTTATTTCAAGGAAGAGGTTACTGGAAACACTTTGAACAAACAATTTTAGAGGACTATGGCTTTGGTGCAGAGACCCAGTTTTGTATGCTTTTTTGTTGTTGTGATGAAACGTAACACCGCTATATCTCGTTACTCCTGCACGCGTGTTAGAGCAAGGGTCCCCAACCACCGGGCCGCGGACCAGAACCGGTCCTTGGGCCATTTGGTGCCGGACAGCACCACAGGGAATTATTATAATTCTTTTTTAAATTTTTAAATAAAAATTGTTTTATTTTGTAAATTGATTGTCTCCTAATTACGTGCACTTGTCCTTCTTGACGTATTTCCCAGGCGTCACCAAGCGGCAATCGCCCACCACTCGCTGCGCACGGCAGTTCCGCCCACCAGCGGACAAAGAACCCGCGACTACACCATTTTTTTATAGCAAAAAAAGCATCAATGACCTTAAACTATTGGGATTTACATTTTAAAATGTTACACATCATTGCAGACCCAACCAACCAGACAAAGAATTGAGGAAGAAGTGGATAAAACTAACAACTGTGTGAGTGCTGTCCTTATGATGCACTATAGGAGATCTGCCTTTTGAAGCCAAAGGAGCATAACCAGATGGAGAGATCTCAATCAAAATCTCGATAGGCCCTTTTTTTTTGTAGGGAAACTAATGCATTGCTGTGAAAGGCTCGTTCATAATTCAACGCAAAGACCCGAGGAAAAACAGACTTGTAAACTTTGATGGTTTTGAAAACCACGATCTGATCCTTTCATCCCCCTTTAACTGTGGCTGCGATTCGGAACATGTACACGGCTCAGGATAACAAGACCTGCCGAGCCGCTTTGAACGCGTCGCACTTGTTGCACTGTACTCCGCCGACGGTTGAAGAAAGACACTCGTTCTGTTCACACTGTGCCGCTGTTTGTTCCGCTGTCTCACCACCTAACGTGCACGTGCATTTCCTGGAGGCAGGATTCCATCTGCAGTGATGGATTCCAGGTAGTCGATCTGCCTTCTGTAGCTGGTCTGCTGTTCTAGGTCTGTGCCTCTCGCACTGGAGTGGGAAGAACAACTACTTTGTAAACAGGCTGTTGTTCACCTGGATGTCACGGTTCACAAAGACGCCCCCTCGGAGTCTGGCGTAACCTCGCTGGCAGAGCTTATGCGCTGGTGTATTTCCGCATCAGTGTCGGCTTTGGAGGGATGAAGGCTGCCGAGGTACGTTTTTGATGTGAGTCTCACACACACACACACACACACACACACACAGACGCACGCACACATACAGTGTATCACCACACACATTCGTGCTCGTGCACGCTCGTATGCACAGAATTGGTTTGAGACACAAGGGGATTTCTCGGTTTGCAATATTAATATGAACAAAAGTTGAGAGGTGACGAGAGGAAGTGGACGTTTTTATTGTGTTTTGTTTGTTTGCTCCCGTGTTTATGCATTAAACACAGTGCGAGAGGAAGATTTTAATAAGTAAATCATCAACACTCAAGAGTAGCCGATTTTTAACCTCTGGTTTTTAAGGGAGTGTGGTGCCAGTAAACAGCAGTTTCATACTGTTTGAGAAGCTCATGTTTTTTCCCGCTCTTGTCTCATATCCGATTATCTACCCGGCTGCACGAGGTGAC